TGTGAATTGAGCTAGCACTTTGGCGCAGAGGAAGCGTGTTGGGCTCATAACCCAAAGGTCGATGGATCGAGACCAACAAGTGCTAACTTTTACCCGCGCCGTTCGGGTGCTCCTTCGCCTCTTTTTTGCGGCTTCTAGCAGCTTCCGCCTGTCCTGCTGCCCCTCCACGCTGCCTGCACTGACCCCGCCTTCGCCCCTCGTGCCTGGCAGGCCGCACAACGACGGCGGGATCGAGTCCCGCCACGGTTCAAGCGGTGGGTTGGTAAACCCGGCGGCGCGGCACCAGGCAACAGTAGGGGCGTGTCCACGACGCGCTGTCGCGCCTGGCGGTGTGTGATGGGCCCTGGTTTGGTCGCGCGGCGGCGAGGCGCCTGTGCGCAGTGGCAGTTTGTTGTGCCGCGGGTACGTGTACCTAGGTTTGGTGGGAGATATCTCGTGAACGATAAGCTCGTTGGGGGCATCAATTGTCGGTCTGGAGAGCTCGCGCGCGGGCGTTTGCGTTGGTTTGTGTGTGGTTTGCTGGGGCGCGTTTTTGTGTGTCGTTGGGGATGTGTGAAATTGAGCTAGCACTTTGGCGCAGAGGAAGCGTGTTGGGCTCATAACCCAAAGGTCGTTGGATCGAGACCAACAAGTGCTAACTTTTACCCGCGCCGTTCGGGTGCTCCTTCGCCTCTTTGTTGCGGCTTCTAGCAGCTTCCGCCTGTCCTGCTGCCCCTCCACGCTGCCTGCACTGACCCCGCCTTCGCCCCTCGTGCCTGGCAGGCCGCACAACGACGGCGGGATCGAGTCCCGCCACGGTTCAAGCGGTGGGTTGGTAAACCCGGCGGCGCGGCACCAGGCAACAGTAGGGGCGTGTCCACGACGCGCTGTCGCGCCTGGCGGTGTGTGATGGGCCCTGGTTTGGTCGCGCGGCGGCGAGGCGCCTGTGCGCAGTGGCAGTTTGTTGTGCCGCGGGTACGTGTACCTAGGTTTGGTGGGAGATATCTCGTGAACGATAAGCTCGTTGGGGGCATCAATTGTCGGTCTGGAGAGCTCGCGCGCGGGCGTTTGCGTTGGTTTGTGTGTGGTTTGCTGGGGCGCGTTTTTGTGTGTCGTTGGGGATGTGTGAAATTGAGCTAGCACTTTGGCGCAGAGGAAGCGTGTTGGGCTCATAACCCAAAGGTCGTTGGATCGAGACCAACAAGTGCTAACTTTTACCCGCGCCGTTCGGGTGCTCCTTCGCCTCTTTGTTGCGGCTTCTAGCAGCTTCCGCCTGTCCTGCTGCCCCTCCACGCTGCCTGCACTGACCCCGCCTTCGCCCCTCGTGCCTGGCAGGCCGCACAACGACGGCGGGATCGAGTCCCGCCACGGTTCAAGCGGTGGGTTGGTAAACCCGGCGGCGCGGCACCAGGCAACAGTAGGGGCGTGTCCACGACGCGCTGTCGCGCCTGGCGGTGTGTGATGGGCCCTGGTTTGGTCGCGCGGCGGCGAGGCGCCTGTGCGCAGTGGCAGTTTGTTGTGCCGCGGGTACGTGTACCTAGGTTTGGTGGGAGATATCTCGTGAACGATAAGCTCGTTGGGGGCATCAATTGTCGGTCTGGAGAGGTCGCGCGGGGGCGTTTGCGTTGGTTTGTGTGTGGTTTGCTGGGGCGCGTTTTTGTGTGTCGTTGG